ATGATGAATATGGTAATTATGGATTAAAAAATGTGAATTATTATGCATTTGTTCCCCACAATGGAAAAGAAGAAAAAGTTAAACGATGATTTATCCTTCAATGAATGAAGCTTCTTGGATTATAAAACTTTAATAGATTAGTCTTTGAAAAACAATTATTATGGGCACAATTAAATAATGGTGAAGTTACAAACAAATACAAGTATATTATTGGATGCAGGGAGGAACAAGAGACAAATTTTAATAATTAGATTATATATTAGGAAGCATTTCTTTTTATAGGGAAGATCGTAGATATTATTTTAAACATCTAACATTTAAAATAATACTCACTACTTTTATGTGTCAGTGACAACCTTTATAAATTTACTTTAAAAATTAATATTTTTATTAAACATATCCATTTTATGAATATTCGTATAAATTATATTTCAAAAATAAAATAAATTTGAACGAATCGTATTACTGATTAAATTATCTTTTAAGACAGTACTAATATATTTTTTTAAAAAAATCAGAGAATAATTTGTTTCAAGATTGTTGAAATATTGAAAAAAAAAAAAATTCGTATCTTAGCCAAGACTAAAGCAAATTACGGTGATCAATCAATATTTAATTGTTTTTTCTTTCCTAAGATTGACCTAAAATGTAATTTTTATGCATATACTTGATACCGAAAATATATTAAAACCGTAACAAGACAGAAATAATACCAACAAAGTATTAAACATATATAAAAAAGGCACCATAAGAAAATAAAAATATTTGTTAACTAATTTTACTAGTCAATTAGGTATAAAATGTTTATAAATTTGATCCACTATTAAATGTTAGTAAATCATAATTTCTCAAATCATGTTGATAAAATAGTTTGACTACAGAGTATACTTTATGTTTCTTTGAATAGTGATAACAGTAACATTATAAGAGAAAATTAATAAGTAGTTAATAAATAATATTTTAGTAGTTATAAGAAATCACAAAACATATATTATGATATATAACTTTTTAGAATAAATAAAACATTAATAATATTATTTAAAATCCTCAATAAAAATGAATATAAAGTTAATATATTTAACTACTCGTATATAATTATATAAATAAATAACTACTTAAATTATTAAATAATAATAATAATAATAATAATAATAATAGTAATAACAATAATAAAAATAATAAAAATAATAAAAATGAGGGAGGCCGGACTCTCTAAACACAACGTCTTTTCATCTCTGAAATTCAATTTTCCATCCCTAATTAACTAACCCTACATGAACCCTAGCTCCGTCGCGGACGGCCGCGAAGACCTCAACGAAGCCGCGACAGACGGCAAGACGTTCGATGACCTCGGCCTGGCGGAGTGGGTCGTTAGTACGTGCCGGGAGCTCGGAATGCGGATGCCACGACACGTGCAGCAGCGTTGCATACCGCCTGTGCTCGAGGGCCGGCACGTGCTTGGCATCGACGAGACTGGGAGCGGGAAAACGGCGGCCTTCGCTCTTCCGATCCTGCATCGACTCGCTGAGCACCCCTTCGGCGTTTTCGCACTCGTAGTGACGCCCACGCGCGAACTGGCGTTCCAGCTGGCGGAGCAGTTCCGCGTTCTGGGCTCTGCCGTGCATCTTCGCATCACGGTTGTGGTAGGCGGCATGGATATGCTCAAGCAGGCGAAGGATTTGGTTGCGAGGCCGCACCTCGTCATTGCCACACCTGGGAGAATCCACGTCTTGCTCCGTGATAATCCTGATATTTCTCCTGTTTTCTCCAGAACCAAGGTAGTGAGCTTGTAATTCGATTTGAAGCTGCTTTTGGATAAGCAGTTCGGTGTTGGTCTGCTTTTCAATTTATAGGTTCAAGAATAGCTTTAAAACCAAAACTTCAAACAAAATTAATCTCGTTTAGCCACATTTAAACTTAGTTTTAATATATGCATTTTTTCTTTAGGGTTGCACATTGAGTGTTCGAATATATGAACCGTTTAATGAAAGATTTGTTTCTACTGTTACTTTTAATCTAACCCACAACTTTGTGTTGGAACTCATTAAATGGATTTAGGGTTCATAACCCTAATTATTCCTCCCTCCTGAAACAAGACAATGAATGACCTGATTTAAAGTAGGTTTAGATAAGCATTTTAATTATACTCTTTTACCTATGGTATTGTTCATAATTATATGAATTAATATTTGACTGATGCTTCTGCAGTTTCTTGTCTTGGATGAAGCAGATCGAGTTCTGGATGCTTGTTTTCAGGAGGAATTGAAATTTATCTTTCAGTGCTTACCTGAAAATCGACAAAATCTGTTCTTTTCTGCGACAACTACAAGTAATCTGCAAAAGTTGCAAGAACGTTACCAAGATAAGATGTATGTCTACGAGGCATATGAAGGTTTTAAAACCGTTGAATCACTTAAGCAACAGGTGATATTCATCCCTAAAAAGGTGAAGGATGTATATTTGATGTATATCTTGTCAAAAATGGAGGAGATGGGAATTCGGTCTGCCATCGTGTTTATCTCAACATGCAGGTATATTTCTACATTGTATGTTTAGATTCTTTGTTACCAATTTTGTTTTCTATATTATGGTTTGTTATTCATTTTTATGCTACGTCCATATCTATATATTTTTGTGGTGCTATCGGAAAATGTGGCCTCTTTCAGCTTCTATTATATCAAACAATCACACCTACTTATTTATTTGTTTGATGCTTTTGTTTTCGTTAGTTGGTTCCTGACTTGACTATTAATATCTAAATATCCAATATCAGAATTTTACCTTTGACTGCTTTTCTTCAATAAATTATTAGGCTGTTATTTTTTGTTTAGCTTCCCTGTCCCAACCTGCAATGAAGTAAAATAAAAAGGGTAAACATTCTCATTCAATATTATTATGATGAAATTTGACTGTCTGTTATTGCATTTCTTTTTCTTTTGTCGACAGTTTATGATGGACTCAATTGAAGCTTATTGTTGTGGACCGTTGTCTACTTGAATCTGTTTGTGGTCTGGTGATATAGTTTCGTGTAATGGCCTTTGTGTATGACATTCAGTAAATAATTAAAATTTGTGATGTTACAAGAAAAAAAAAGTTGTTGCTGTTTGACAATGAAAATTTGGAATTATATACTTTTATTTGGCAAACTGGTTGGACTTGAAATTGATTTTGGTGTCTCTACTTAGAAAATAGATATTGGACAAACGCAGGATTTCTACTTTCTCTGGTATGCATTCCATGCAGCTGAAAATGGAGGCAATTATTTTAACGTTATGAATTTTTCAATATAGGTTTTTTAGTTGATGGGTGAACCAGAGTTTTATTGAATGCATATATATGAGGTTTTCGTACTTACTCGGTTTCTTCTATAAAGTGTAAACCAATGATAGTGAAAAAAATGGGTAGAATTAGTATTTGGTTCTATTTTTATGTGTTGATATGTTGTTTATCTCTTCTGTACAAGTTGCGATTTATTAAATATTGTTAAAATAATTTCATCTATGTATCACCATTAAGCCTAAGTAGCGTGTGGTGTGTTAGACAATCTATTAGGTGTACCTATAGCCGTACCTAGTTCTGTACATAGTTCTGTACCTAGGTGTCTAGTGTAGTCTCTTAATCTTTCATGTACTTTTGAATAAGTTTTTTCATTATAAATAAAAGATTATGAGAGGGGTCTCTTAAGTCCTTAAAAATGTATTCCCTTTTTTAATCTTAAGTTCGCATCAGAGCGGGTTGATCTTGCTTTGCTTGTCTCTATCATCTTTGGCATAGTTTTTGCCGCCATTCACTGTCTGCTGTTGCTGTGTGCCACTGGCCACCAATGTCGGCCGTTACAGTTTTCCGTCAGCAACCACTGAATTTGGAGTTCCTCTTTGAGCAACAGCCAACCACGCAGTTGTGGAACCTAATTCTTGCTGTCTCTGTTTTGGCCTTCAAAGCTTTGTTCCATCGCGGTTCGAAGTCATCCTAAGGCTTTAGTTTTTCCTTATTGTTTTTGTCTTCTTGGTCAACAATGACCAATGGAAATGCTATTTCATTCTCTGGAAGCCCCTGCATTACTTCCTTGAAGCTAAAATTATCTATCGTGGGCTGCATTGTGGTTCTTTGGCCAAAGACATCCATGACCACCTTGAGCAAGATGGAGGAGCCATGTGCCAGCTGGAAAAGCTAAACAATGGAAACAAGCGGATTTCCAGCTGTATGCCTTGTTGTAGCATTCTGTGGAACCAAGACTTCTGATGTCTCTTAGAGCTTTCAAAACATGCCACTCCTTTTGAAGAAAGCTCAAAACATTATGCCAATGATACCCAACGTTTCTATGATTCTGCAAACAAGCTTGCATCTCTCAAAATGATTCACCATGATATGGTATCCTCATGACTGAAGTCAATCACTTGGAAGAACTCAAAATGTTCTTGGAAGTCTAATCTTTGGAGGAAATCAAAGATGTATGTATGTGCTGTGTCTGTATCCTATAATTTTTTAATTTAGCCGTATCTTTGTGTCTGTCATCTCCGTGTCTGGGCTTCATAGCATGGATGGCCTCAATCATATACCCAGCTCTAGTTGTGCCTCATCATGTGTGGTTCTTACTGAATACCATCTTGATAAGTCTCTAAGCACTGGAGGAACCCACCCACCCTTAAAGGCTGCTTTTAGGCACTATAGAACCAAGCACATATGTACTCCATTTGAACATCCCATAGTACTTGATGTGGACTTATATCCCATATACTCAAGTTCTAATACTGCATGGAGGTCAAGGATGGAAATTGATGTTGGAAGAAATTTTTTGTTGGCTAATGAAGCCTGAGAGCTGTCATGTTATAACTGGTATCATACAAGGAATGAAAAATGGCCCCTATAATTTGTATATATAAATAATTGCTTGCTTTGCTTTCATTTTGGTGTGTAACTCCCCACACCAACCGATGTTTAGCATGGCTTTGTTGCATCAAGGTGTTCTTATCGACATTGACACATCCAGGAGTATAAGAACTACCACTCGATAACTCTCGCACAATATTCCTCAATATTCTGTTCTACTAAGCTAAATTTAGGCCTTTATGTGTGCAAAATATAATTTGATTGTTATTAAATTTGAAAGCGTTTATATTTCAACTAGGTAAATAATATTAGGCATTTGTTGCATCCTCTTTTTCCTCCAACATAGCTTATATGACATCTTTAGGTGAATAATGAGGCATACTGATTCACATGCATTTCATTATTCATTTATTTGGAACTGTTAACTGTGACCAAATCTTAGTGCTCAGGTGTTTGCAATGTAAATGAACAATGTTCTGCTATCATGAATTTGACAGGACTCTGAAAATGAGGTCATTGACTCTGTTGGCTATTTTTGTTTTCTTTATAGAAAGGCTATTTTGTTTCTAAATTCGGATTCAGATATCCCAAGTTAAAAAATGGCAGCAGTTACGTTCATCTTTTATTCCTGTTGAAATATGATATTAGATAATGAAGGAGGTAAATAGGTTCTTGAATTTATATAGTGTATCTGATGTGATGTCATAAAACAATGCTCACGCCATTATGCCTTTTATACTTCAAGTTGATTGCATACTGAAATGCTAACCCTAATCAAAGGGTCAATTAACTGCTGTAATTGGCTAAAGAAAATCCCTTTGAATAAGGATCCTAAATGATAGAATTTCTGAAAGTTAGTAGCACAATGATATGTAAAATAATAAAAGTGATCCTACCCTACTATTGTCATTCTCTTGTAAATAGTTTTTAGAGTTCCTAAATGTTTCCAAATTTCAGAGATTGTATCGTTTAGTTTAATGCTGGAAGTTCTTGATCAAGAAGCAGCAGCTCTTTATTCATTCAAATCACAAACTCAGAGGCTTGAAGCTCTCATCAATTTAAATCATGGAAGGTTTCTGTACTGCTAGCAACTGATGTTGCCAGTCGGGATTGGAATTCCTACAGTTGACCTTGTTATCAACTATGAGTTCCAAGGTTACCTTTTCTTGTGCCAATTTCTTTACCTTCTTAATAGACATTTGAAGCATTTCAATTAGCATATTGCAACTATTCATCTCCAGGTTTCCACGGGATTATATCATCGGGTTGGTCGACGGCAAGAGCCGGTAGAGGTGACTGGTTGAGCCTTGTCACCCAGGTTAGCACATGTTATATTTAATATTAAAGCTTGTATATTTGTTTGTTATTTGAATTGAAGTTTGCAAGTATTGAATTTGTACCTAATACCTAAGAATTTTTGTTTGTAATAAATTGTTAAATTTGAGAGGCCTTCTTTATGCAACATCCACTTGAGTGTTGATGTGCGCTAAACTCATTTAATACTATAGTCGAGAGATACAACTTGTTATTCTGGGTAAAACCTAGGATTAGCACGTCATTCATTTTGAGTGAGCCATGGAAATGGGCATGACACAACCCTCCTCATTTGCCCAAGCTTGAAATCAACAATGTTACCATAGACGTTATATAATTCAACAATTAAATGATAAATTTTTGCATCTCTGAAAGTTATTAAAGGTGTCATTTCACTAATTTGACACTTAATGACCATTACCATCTAAATTTAGCTTAAAGGGATATTATGAATCTAACCAACTAAACTATAATACCTGCTATGGTTGACGTGAATTGGTTTCTGAGATTTATAGGGGGACCATAGGTACTTTTAAAACTGCTGGATCCTGGGGTAATGCCCTAGGTTCTTCCTTTTTGAATTATGTTAGTATCTAAATCGGTACAATCTGTATCCCAGACATACCGATGTAAGTCTGTACTTTTAAACTTGATTGTGGGTGTTGTGCAAACCTTAGAAAAATGAGTTCATACTCTAGATAATTGCCTGCTTGTCTTGTGGAGGCGTGTCTAGGATATCTTGATGTATAACCATTTTTAAGTGTGATGACATAGGTTGTGTGGCCTTGAATATTCATACTCTAGATAATTGCCTGCTTGTCTTGTGGATGGCAGTGTCTAGGATATCTTGATGTATAACCATTTTTAAGTGTGATGACATAGGTTGTGTGGCCTCTGAATATAAATAATTCCATTCTATTGGGAGGAGTTATTACTCAAACATATTCAGAAAATATTTGTTGATCTGTGGTTTTGCTGTGTTTTTTCGGAGGAAGTGTCTTAGTTTTTTCAATTGTTACTCATGTTCGTATAAATGAAATCATTTTAGGATTCTGATATTTTTATTTTTATTGCAAAGGTTTCCTTATTTGTTTGACATTTTCAGAATGATGTTGAACTTATTCATGAAATAGAAGCACTTATTGAGAAACAACTTGAAATGATTGAATACAAAGAAAGTGAGGCGCTTGCTCTCATGAAAAAGGTATGTTTTTGCTAGGCGATTTTTTGTTCTAACTATTGAATTATATATTTAATTTGTTTCCTTTTCTGTGTCTAAATAATTTTTGCATTTTCAATTATGAGCTATGTAAAGGTTTGTTTTTTTTGTTCTAAATTTCTATTTGACTTCTTAATTCTGTGATGTATTGTAGGTTTTCAGTGCTAAGAATGTAGCAGAAATGAGAATGATAGATGATGGCTTTGAGGAGAAAGCTAAAGAGCGGAAAAACCAGAAACTGAAAATGCTTGCAGAGAAAGGACTGTTGAAGAAAAATAAAAGGAGAAAAAAAAGTAAAAAATTTTCAGAGCAAGGGAAAGAGGTATAAAACACTGAATGTCTTCTTTCTCTTCCTGTTATTGACTTGCATAATTGGCCATTTTTCCAATCGACTTGTTTACTTTGATGTATTGTGTAGGTTTTCGGTGCTAAGAATGTCGAGGAAATGAAGATGGGTAAGGATAGCAGTGAGAGGGAAACAAAAACTAAAAGT